ACCCCTTCAGCTCCACCTTACAACACAATGACCATATTTATAATCCACACAAAAGCGTCACTAATTCTAATACGAGAATGGAAGTGATGAAAAGTAACAAACCAACCGAACGTAATATAAACGTCGGTAAAATTATCTGTATTTCTCCCCTAGTTCAGAGGAAGTTATTAGTCAAAAATACATAATCTGTGACCTTAAAAACTGTGGCAGAAATGTATTTAACTGTTACGTTTGGGAGGGAGGTAAGGGAGGGGGGTCTGAGGTCAAAATATAATTATCTTTTTACCTGCATTTCAGTTTTGTAGCATCCTTTAGCAAACTTTTCTTTTCACAGAATGCTCAACATTCCCACAAGTTTCGTTCCCTCATCTTCTATATCATTCTTCTCACCCAATCTAGACTCATCTGCAGGTATATCTGTGCCAAAGTAGAAGGATAAATGAATTTTGCAGCAAGAATTTTGGGTGGCGGGATCATACAGGACCTGGAGAATGAAGAGGAATCAGGTTTGATGTAAAGAGTAAGAATACAACACTAATTCATTTGATCAACATCGGAATACATTCACTTCCTCCACATTCTTTCCTTTCATTCTGACTGCCAATCTCCTATACTTCAATTCATTCTCCTCTCCTTTCTCTTTTTTGCATTTCTTTTCAACTGTATTTTAAAAGCCTTCCAAATACCACCACCCACTTCCGCATTAATATATTCATGGGGAAACACTAAACCCAACGAGGTCACACAGTGCCTGAGGAATAGGTATCACTGAGGTCACAGCACCTGGGGAATAGGAGGTAATCAGGCGTGATGCATAGAAGAACTGTGTAGCTACAATTCTTTGGATGAAGATCAGTCTCCCAGCAGCACTGTCATTTGTTTACCACACTGTGATAACTCACTTTACATCAGATTCGTTATCATTTAAGAGCACAACTCTCCCTGGCACTCTAGCATTATCTTACAGCCCAGTCTATCAACACAAACAGATGCAGAGCATTTGGTTCACAACTAAAACGACGCTGGTTCTATTCCTGGGCTGGTGGTGATGCGAGGACCAGCGTGTCTACACCTGCTGTCCTTGTTCACCTCGCAGTAAATAGGTATATGGGTATTTGCTGACTTATGTAGGTGGTATCCTGGGAAAGAGGTAATATACTTTAGAGTTTAACTCTGAAATGAGCCGAGGTAGGGTAACTGCCAATAAATTCAACGAGGTTAATGAAAAATTACGGTTTATCCAGCGCAGCCACTTTCGGTGCCATACTAGTACCTAATTAATTTGGAAGCTTATCATCAGGGTACTAACGCCCCACGTTGTAAATCTAAGTAGGTAAGCAGCGGGGATCACATGATTCTGCATCTTCCCCTCCCTTCCCTCAACTCCCCTTCCAGCAAAAATGCCTAAAGTTGCGCATATACTATATATTCATGGAAAAGCACTAAACCTGTAGTGGCCATACATGGCATGAGAAATGCGAGGTAATTAGGTTTCATCCGAGGAAAGCTAAAATTCCTTTCATTAAAACTCCATCGCCAAAATCAAGGTTTCGCCCCCCCTCCTTTGAAGGGCTAAAGATATGCAATTCTTATATTCTTAGCCAGGTTAGATCTACCTACCTAGAGTCTACCTTGAGCGTTTCAAGGGGGAATCGTCGCCCCCGCGTCCAGGTGCCACATTAGACCTCCTGTTAAGCGTTATTTTTATTAATTTAATCAGGATTATATTCCTGTCATTTACTTCAATGTTTTTCATCTCAAAGATAAACCTTAATTATCCATCAGGTAAATCACATAATTGGTTGTTAAATATATAGCTTCCTAGTGGACTTAACTTCACTAGGAAGTTATACATTTACTAACTTCAGTGGGAAAATTAGGTGACGTTCCGGTCCGCCCTGGACCTTCATAAAGTCGAGGACCGAAACACTGAAGCTTTCTCTCCAAATTGTGGGTTAATTGTGAACTATTCCAGTGTGGTTAATTCTTCTAATCCATGACACAAGTGGTAATACCACACCTGTAATAATTTTTGCAGCCACACTACACTACCTGGAATCTCTCAAGTATTGTAATATCCAAAAGATATATCTCTTGGGTGGAAGCCAATATACCGACAAGTCAGGTAATACACAAACACAGCACAACAAGCATTTATTTACACAACTTTTCAGTCAAAAGTCAAAAAGCCTATCTTCGAGCAAAATCTTGTTCAAAGACTGCTTGTGTTGCCCTGTGTTCCCGTACACCCAGTGCCAGCCTGAGACTCACTGTCACACACCTGTTCCAGTGCCAGCCTGAGACTCACGATCACACACCTGTTACAGTGCCAGCCTGAGACTCACGATCACACACCTGTTCCAGTGCGGGTGTATCGCTTCACGGGGGAGCGATAAACCCGTAGGGGCCCTAGAACCTGGGGAAATGGGAGGTAATCAAGTCTGATGCAAGCAATGGGATCTGAAGCCCTTCATCAGCATCAAGGTCTACCACTGAATGTGTCGCTCACCGGATGAACTGTAGGTGCACAACCAGCAGCTCAGCCGACTCGAAATAAAAATTATTAGGCCAGTTATTATAATTCATGCGGAAGAGCTAAACATATACAACACCTGGAGAGTGAGAGGCAATGTTATTGACATACCAATAACTTTAACAACGCCTTGAATCTGCTGTTTGAATCGAGGTGAAAACAAATGGAAGCTGAAGACACTAACGAGACACGAGGATGTTGAAGGATAAGAGGAATGACTTCGATGAGTCTGAAATGAAGGTAAACTATATACCTTCAAGGAGGCGGGACCAGAGGACCTAGTCTCAACCCCAGTAACAACTCCGAGTACAGATACTACCCGGAACCCAGAAATCTTCAGTTAGTGGGGACCCCTTGCTCACATGCTACGATGCACACACCGCCCTCCTCACGTCGCATAGCTTCGTACATAACGACTCGTCACTTGCTCTTCCGACTACATATACCTATGAGTATCATACACTCCCTATAGACACGAAAAAGCTTGGTTTCCAAATTAAATTTTGTGTGGGTAAAGGTTTCCATTCTGTCAGTATCAACATATTATTCAGCAGGGATGCCAGCGATGTAGTTATTCTTTTTCCATGGGCGGCAGGAGTGTGGTGACTTGTCCTTTTTTCGGACCGAAACGTTGTCTCAAGTTTCCTCCAAAGGGTGGGTTTCTTGCGAAGCTAAAGTTTCTCCTGGAGGGTAACGGAGGCCAACGACCTTCGGGTTGGTGGCCTGATCAACCAGGTTGTTGGTGCTAGTTAGCCGTACCGAATACAACGTATGCACCACAGCCCAGCTAACTAGGAACTGACTCCTAAAGACAGCCAAGGGTTTGCTGGTGATCTTATGTATGAAGGGACGGTATTGAAAATCTTGGTCCCTTCACACCTAACTGTACTCACGGCGCCCCTTTTTATTTGGGTTATTTCGCAGTTTAACAAGCCTCATGATTTCGTAGGGAGTGATTTCTGCGTACAGATTTGGGACCGGTCTGACTTTATTTGATGAAAAATTTGATGCATCTTTCTCGCCTACGTTCGAATGAGTATAATTCAAAAATCACGCTGCGATGCGTCTGACAACGAGCGGCGGCTTGGAAAAATTGGAAAAGCTGAAATGTGTGTTCACCATTCATTATTATTTTTATTTTTTTTTGGGGCAAGACTGGCATCCCAGAGGCACTGCATCACCCCCACGATACTTCAATGGTTATGATCATAACCATAATTTTTAAAAGGGGTGGATGGGTAAGCCAGTGGAAAAAGCTACGGGTCATCATATGACTAAGGCCCGCGTCAGGAAACAGTTGTCCCGTTTCCTGACAAACCTTACCTAACCACCCCTACCCCCCCCCCCACCCTCTTAAAGCAGCACACTGCGGTTTTATTCTATTTTGGAATATATAAAAACACAAGCACTTCAACGCTATATATGAAGCCCATCCCCCAAGATCTCATCTGGATTAACGCTTAGGGTCGGTATCTCAGGAACACCCAGTTATTATTATTATAATCAAGGGGGAAGCGCTAAACCCGGAGGATTATACAGCGCCTGGGGGGGGATGTGGAAGGCATTCAGGCTTAATTCGGGGAACTGGAGCACAGATCCAATTCCCTAAATCAAGAGCCCCTCACCAACATCAAGGAACCTTCCTCGAGGGGTTGGAACACCCAGTAAGACAATGTAACATAGCTTTTGTTCCCACCGCATGACTAACATACAGAATATGGTAGCAGTATATTACTGATTTATCCAGTTTTCCATAATAAAAAAAGTACATATGGTGGATGTGACTATCAGGGTTGTCCCCCAGTACCGACACCAGTTCCCCCAGTACCGACACCAGTCCTCCAGTACCGACACCAGTCCTCCAGTACCGACACCAGTCCCCCAGTACCGACACCAGTCCCCCAGTACCGACACCAGTCCCCCAGTACCGACACCAGTCCCCCAGTACCGACACCAGTCCCCCAGTACCGACACCAGTCCCCCAGTACCGACACCAGTCCCCCAGTACCATCACCAGTCCCCCAGTACCGACACTAGTCCCCCAGTACCGACACTAGTCCCCCAGTACCAACACCAGTCCCCCAGTACCATCACCAGTCCCCCAGTACCGACACCAGTCCCCCAGTACCGACACCAGTCCCCCAGTACCGACACCAGTCCCCCAGTACCATCACCAGTCCCCCAGTACCAACACCAGTCCAGCATCCCACAACACGAGCATCACAACTACACCACAATGTAACTGCCACAGTTTTATAGCGAAAAAAAAAATATATTAATTCCTGGAATAAGGTACGAGTGTCAATGAAAATTATGAATCTAAAGTGACCCCCAAAGGTCCTAACCTCGTTATTACGTTCAACTTCCAGTCAACCTTGATACAGAAGGATATGGCGACCTTTGTGAGTGTACTTGTCATCTACAAGCTTGATAAAATGCTTACTGGTATTATTCCCGATGTACTTACCATATAAAGTCCTTGCAGTGGCTACAGAAGGTGGGTTGCTTGAAGAATCGGGGGATGAACTTGTGATCATTTATTATAAACACATTTTTCTTCTTGAGGGCGCCCTTCCTGCCTCGCTGGCCGGTGGCGAAGGCAGTTTTCATGTCGCCCATTCCTGGGGTGTTGTCATCCTCTTGGTTTTGTTGCTGCTCGTCCGTCATTTTCACGTCAAGTGTCTCCTGATCTGGACGAGAACTACACTCCTCCCACACTGACTGTAGAGCACTGAGTCGAGGTGATGGTCTGCTGTCCCGTCTCACCACCACCCACCACTATACTCACACTCACACATTTTTCACAAAGCATAAAGTAGTTTCAAAACTCACATTCAGCCGGAAATTATGTATGAACTTCGAGTGAAAAGTTCCCAAACGTTACATAAATTGCTTCCTTGTACACATTTCAAATATATAGGCCATCTATCATGCCTTTATTTAGCAACAAGTAACATATATGCTGCTGGTAAATTGGAAGCTGAACGTGTAAATCGTTCACCTTTTGTAGCGAGTCTATTCGGAAAATATAAAATCCCATCAAATTTAGGGTATTAACTGAATTAATAATTCACAGAAAATGACAACAACATCGTAAGTGCAGGACACACGAGGTGGGTGTAAGTTAGCGACGCACTTAGGACGCTCACTAGCATAAGGGAAGGCGACATCGATCCTGGTTTCCTGAAGGAGGCTCGCTAGTTAGCCAGCAACAGCGCGCGCGCTGTTAACTTTACTGAATCTGTCAAGTGGTTGCTGTGCCTACCTCTCCTCCCTTCACCTCTACCTCACGCTATCTTTACTTTTCTTATCCTCACGCTATATCCACTGCACGTGGGTTATTAAGGTTATATCTTATGTATAAACACATGTAAAAGAGAGCATACCTTTATCTGAAACGGCATTTCATTGAACCTTGAGCTTTACTGACACTTGATAAAGCTCATTTCTGAGCGAAAAGTCTTCAGAAATAAAGCAGTAGTAACAGTAGTGTAGAAAGAGTAGTATGGTTCTTGTTGTTAAGAACCACCAAAGCTTATTGAGCGCTGTCTGGAAAGTCTGGAAAAAGATATGTTCGCCTAATATGTGCTGGAATTATAAGAGAAGCTTCCTCCGGAAAGAGAAACGGAAATAAAGTTTCCAATTAGGTGAAGTGGACCCCCCTTGCCTAAACCATGGCAGCGCCAGATGATCACACATGTATACCTACTTACCTTGTACATGTACTTGTAGTAAATAAATATATTATTTATTATTATTTTACATCTGCGTCCGAGTCAACAACAACAGGCTTTTCCTTGGCCTAGAATGAATTGATGCAAGGCGCCCCAACCAAGTGCCAGACTCCCCAGGACAAACATCCCGGTGAGGAGAAAAGAGGGACAATTCTTCACTGATGCTCAGGAAAAAGGTAGAGCGAAACGTCCTCACTCCACCAAGGCCAGCACAGATATCCCTTAGTTTCAGGTTAAGTAAGGTATGTAAAGAAAGTTGCCTCCCGAAGACAGCTCGGAGTCTATCGGTAATTCCCTGTCGGTAATATCCTCTTCCTTACAGTTAGCGATATTTCTATTTTTTTTTATTTTGGCTTTCTTATATTCGCTCTTAACTTAGTTTCTCAAACGAAGATATTTTTGCACAGTCTTTCCTGCTATGGCAGTGATGGCTATGCAGGTTATAATAAATTCATATACATAAATAACCCGCACATAGGAAACAGATGACGACGACGTTTCGGTCCGACTTGGACCATTTAGAGTCACACTGACAGAAAAGAGAGATAAAAAGAGAGTATAAACAGTCCAGCTGGCAGGGACGGGGACAGGAGAAGTGAAAAGAGTAGTAGTGATAGTGGTCAGGCAGGTAGTAGAAGTAGTAGTAGAAGTAGTAGTAGTAGTAGTAGTATAAAGTACTGGTTTCATCTCTCTTTTCTGTTAGTGTGACTTTGTAAATGTCCAAGTCGGAGGGTTATTTATGTATCGTTCCAGTCACGGTATTGTGCCTTCTTGTTCTGTAATAAACTCATTTATTCAGCATTTACATTTTTCCATCTTCTTGGCTGATATTGACATTTGTTAATTTTAAGACATTAATTCTTAACATTTTAATAGCAAAAATAGTATTTCACTGAGGTGGTCAGCCACAGATAGACGGAAATCTCAGCTCGAGTCTTAGATTATTATTATAATCAAGGGGGAAGCGCTAAACCCGGAGGATTATACAGCGCCTGGGGGGGATGTGGAAGGCATTCAGACTTAATTCGGGGAACTGGAGCACAGATCCAATTCCCTAAATCAAGAGCCCCTCACCAACATCAAGGAACCTTCCTTGAGGGGTCGAGTCTTAGAGTACAAATTTTTGTCAAATCGAGAGGAAATTAGAATTATTATCACAGGTTGATTCTGAACTTGCTGAAGTTACACAGGTGAATATAAAATTGTATCTATACAGAGGTGTCTATGAACACCTGTGTGTATGCATACATAGTGGTGTATGTACACACATGAATGTGTGTATATAAGTGTATTTACAGAGGTATATACACATACACAGGGAAACATACAGGGGTATACCTGCATGGCATATCGTATTATAAATGATATACAATACCGATTAGTTGACAAGTAAGATCAAGAGCAACACTGGGTATCTTTTATTGACGAAACGTTTCGCCAGCGCTGCAGGCTTCATCAGTCGAATACAGGAATGAATTACAATCCTGAAGATATTATACGAAGTGGGAAGGTTGTTTGAGGTAGTCGGGGTATACACAGAGGTATACGCACATTCTTTTTCAGTCCACGTACAGAGCTGGTATCCCATTTATTCACTGCCTTCATGCTGAAGGATATTTTTTCCTTATTTCCCTTTGGCTCATTTGCAATTCTAAATTTTCATTTGTGTCGCCCTAGTTTTGGTCCCCCTCATTTCAATTAGTCTGTTTCTATTAACTTTGTCTGTCTCTGAGTAATTTTATGTTATGGTCATGGCTCCCCTGGGTCCCAACCCTCCTGTGTCTGGCATCAGCCTCGTACCAGATTCTCAACTTTCTTTTTGTTTTAAAATGAGGGTTCAGTACTGGTGCTGGGTACTCCAGTAATGTTGTTGTTGCCACTGAACACCGCAATCAATGCCACCTCCATTTTACATATATATATATATATATATATATATATATATATATATATATATATATACATTATATATATATATATATATATATATATATATATATATATATATATATATATATATATATATATATATATATATATATATATATATATAATAGATAGATAGATAGATAGACATGTTCTTATACATGTGGGAACAGATTAAAAATCTTTATCATCTATTCTCATATATTATCGTCATTTAATAGTACTTAGATACACATTAATATATAACTTTATATAGCCTAACCAAACGAAATTAAGCTATATTTAATTCCAGCAGTATTTTCAATCGTGTAGAAATGAACGAACGACAACCGGGAGAAACATTTACACTTGGAAGAACAGAATGTAACGAACGTCGAGTACCTGAAATGCTTCCATCTTTCATCACACATCTACTTCTTTCGTCTCTATACCAGTCAAGGCCACAGATATGGCGGTACGGTTAAGATTTTGTTCAGATTTTTAACCCTGGAGGGTTGACCATCCAGGATAACCCATGAAAGTCAGTGCGTCATCGAGGACTGTCTGTCTTATTCTCAGTAGTAGTAACCAGTTACCAGTAACCACTGTGCCAGTAATGAACAAATAAAACCCGTCATCACCCAGACTATCATCATCACCCAGAGACTAAGAGCATGCCCAGTACCTGCTCGCATGAGTTCTAGGCGTTACTCTGCCCACCCTTCCTTCCCCATCACAAAAAATGAGTTTAATGAGATTATTTCCATTGTGGTCTTTAAATCTTGTGCCCCAGAATGCGACCCACACCAGTCAATTAACACCCATGTACCTCCTTGCTTGCTAGGTGAACGGGACAACAGGTGCAAAGAAACACACTGAATGTTTTCCACCCTATCCGGGGATCGAACCACGGACACTTTATGAAGCAACACAGTTACCTAACAGGCCAGGGGCCACCTAGAACCCTCAACCATGCTGTGTGACTGTAAGTTTAAAATGTCAACCAGTTAGGGTGAGTGGTTGACTCCAGTAGAATTTACAATATTACTTCACCCTCGGCTCGACTCACAATGTTTGTTCACGGGGAGAGATGTATACTATATATCATCTCATATACCTTAAAGTTTACTTTAATTCATATATACCCTTAGTGGAGATTATTAAGGTTACCACGCAGCTTAATGACCCTAGTATTGTCGATGGGCTTTAAGCCCCGCTAAATAACCAACCAATCTGGCTGGAGTCCAGCTGAGTACACATACTGGCCTCTCTTGTATGAGTTGTAAGTCAATAGCAGAGAGTGGACTCACTTTGCTCACTCACATTGCTGCTCTTTATTGTACTCTCCATATACAGTTAAAAAACATCTCTCAGTCTACAGAAGAATTCGAACCTGCACACTGTGTATCAAATTATACAGTATTTTGGCCACTCAGCTAGATCCCTGTCTGAGTGACGAAAGTACTGTGTACCTTGATACAGAATATGTAGGTTCGAACCCTGCTGTGGACTGAGAGATAATGTTTATTAAAAGTTCGTCCGTTTGCGAATTGTTAAACATACTGTCAAAATTGTTGGCGGAAACACACGGGTGCTCAAAAACTACCCTGGGGCATTGTCTTTATTTTCTTGGGTTGGTCCTTGTCCGGGTACTTGACTTACTGCCCGGTACAATAGGTCTTTGATTTGTACCTGTCTTCTTAATGTGGCCATGTTATGCTCGCTTCTAGTGGAGCCTAGAGCGCTACCTACCTACTGCAGATGTTACCTACTTCCTACCTCAAGCACCACCTGCCTACCCCAGGCGTCACCTTTCTACCTCGTGCAGAGCAACACCTACCCTAAGAGTCACTTATCTTGGGCACCTACCTACTCCAAGTGTCACCTACCTACCCCAGGTGTCACCTACCTACCCCAGGTTTCACCTATCTACCCTAGGTGTCACCCACCTACCCCAGGTGTCACCTACCTACCCCAGGTGTCACCTACCTACCCCGGGTGTCACCTACCTACCCCAGGTGTCACCTATCTACCCTAGGTGTCACCCACCTGCACCAGGTATCACCTACCTACCCCAGGTGTCACCTACCTACCCCG